TGTGCAGTTACGAGAATTAATGATCTGGAACATTAAAAAAATTATAGCATATTAGCTACCTTCCACTCTTCTGATAACCAAGGCACTTTCAAGTGAGAGATAACACATCCTGGTTAGTAGTTGAGCTATTTCATCCTTGCATTCCTTTGGCACTCTTGAGTTAACGTTACCTGGTCCTGCCAGTTTGTTACCATCTGCTTTGTTAATATGTTTTCTAATCTCTTCTACAGAGATTTCAACATGAGACTGATCCTCCCTTACGCTTTATATAAAGGTGGGTTCAGGGCAGGGATCACCCCAAGCTCCTGTACAATAAACACTGATGCAGAGGAATTATCTGAGCGTTTCTATTACACAGGGACCATGTGCTGGCCCCACAGAGCTCTGAATATTATTTTTTATGCCTTTTGCAATGTGTGACCCAACCTTTTTGAAAGATGAGCTTTCTGGTCTTAGTAGCTTCTCTTCTGTCACTTAGCTATCCTAGCTATTTTCTGGTTCTCTTTCTCATGTCTCTCTGTGAAGTTGTATACATATACTTTGAGCCTCTGGTATGGTATTTCTGAATATCTTCATGCCACTTGCAAAGGTTTTTCACTCTTTTACTACTTCTTCATTCATACTTAATCTACCTGGTTTGATATTAAGCAGAATACTATTGATCTTTTCATTTGATGTTGCTCTTTGGGACATGTGTATGCTGAGTGTACTTTCTTCAAAACAACATTATGAATCATAACAACTGCATACTGCTCAGGAACAAGCCAAGAGTTGTTTTTCCTGATAAAAGTTCCCAAATGGCTGTTTTGTGAAGTAAATACTGTGAGGTACCAAAGCATAGTGCCAGTATCTTGTCCTGAAATTACCTTTACTTGAGAATAACTGGAATCTCCCATTACAGTTGCTGTCCTGTAGTTTCTGTGATTTCATCCTGCTCTTGAAAAGTCAGTATCTTGCTTTAGCAGCTGATGGTACAGCCCTAAGCTGGTACTTCCATCTGTGAAGGTTCTCTTTTATTTAACACAATTAGTCTGCTAATGTGGATTGACTATAGGAAGAATAAAAGAAGCAGCTGATGACTAGGATGACCAGGAGCCTGGGGAGCCTACTCTGTAAAAGGAGCTTCCCTGTTTAATCTAGGAAAATGAATATTGAGAGGAGAAGAAATGTGGCCACTATCTGTAGATATATGGGGGGAGAGCTAATTAAGTTACAGTTTTGGCACAAACAACAAGTAGGGTTGAATAGATAAGGAAAATATACAGAGTGGCAATTAGTGAAAGTTCTTCCCCAGCTGGGGCAAAACCTAATTTGTTTTAAGGTGGAACATAACATCCTCTCATAAAAGATCTCAAGACAATGTACTGCACGAGCAGGGATTGGACTTGCTGAGCAATGTACTCATGAACTTCCTAACACTGTGCATCTCTTAACTGGATGGCAAGGAAAAAACAGAGGCTGGGGTATCTCACAGCAATACTTATGGAAAACATCATCAGCCTTCCTGTCCTGTGGTATTCTTGTGGGGCTCTGGAGACCTCTGCTCCTCAAGGTAGTGCCCAAGATCTCCATTCCTCACCCTCCTGCCTGTCTAAGCAGCCCCTTCAAGTCCATCCCATGTTGCAGATGTTAAGGACATGAGAACGTAGCTCCTGCCAAGGCAAGGGAAGAGAGCAGGAGACCAGGCATGCCTTGAGATGCCCCCAAAGAGTCTCCTCGCCCTCTGCGGAACGTATGGTTGCAGTGGACTGTGCTAGCCAAATGCTGAGCTAGAAAGTCTGCAATACAGGTTGGGCAGAAAGAGCCCTTCAGTGCCCCACACTTGGTCTCCCATTGTCCCATAGCCACACCATCTCCAGACAGCCGGAGCTCTGCTTGGCCCTGCCTGCTCGATAGGCACCACGCACACTGCAGGGACCACCCAGCCTGCCCACCGACAGTCAGCTGGTGCTCTCCATCACACGCATGTACCAGGGACTGGGAAACAACGGGTCCTTGCTGGTGGGCAGAGAGTGCTGGCAAGAGGAAGCTGGAGAAGAAAAGGCCTGAAAACATGCTGCTGTGCTTTTTAGGCAGGGACCAGTTGCTGCTCTACATCCTTCATAAGGCTGAGGAAAACCAGCTGATATTTCTTGTTCATTGTTTATATCTTCATACAGTTTGCTACGTCACCGAGCTAAAATTAGATGACCGTTTTAGGGTTGTTCTTTTGTAATTATGTAATGAGTGCACTCATCTCTACTAGTAATCTCAGACTTGCATACTTCAGAGAAAGTTTTAATGACATAAATTGGGTAGCAATACATCACTTAAATGCTAAAAACAATGCTAGGTGTCTTGGCACTCTGTGAACTAAAGTTACATGTGCTTTTTTTTGCTTTTTTTGGCTTTTTTTTGCAGTTTCACCTGGCTTTGTAGCCAAGTCCACACTGGCCTGGTGACCCACTTCCGTGGTCAAATTGTTGCGGAGTTTGAAAAGGAATTTCGGTACCTGTATGCAGAGTCCAGAGCAGTGACCAGCTTCTGTGTGCCAGATCCTGGAACGTGCTCCTCTTCTCAGAACACCTCAACAGTTGCCAACTCCCTTTTAAAACCCCCACAGGTGAATGATGCTGAAACCTTGAGCCCCTCCAGCAGCCTTTCCAATCTAAGCATCAGAAGCATAAAAGTGTCTCCTTTTCTGAAAAACTCCAGCTGCAATGTACACCAGGAAAAGCAAGATTCAAGCTCTGATTCTGGTAATAAGGGCAAGGAAGACACATCTCTGAAGCCCACTTGCCCTAAGCAGCCAGGAGAGCCACCGGACTCAGCGAACAGTCCTCCAAATAAACCCACCCCAGCCTTGTATCACAAATCAAATCTCATGACAGCAAGGACATTCTTGCAGCCAGAGCCTCCCCCTGCCCTGAGCTCCAATAAACCTAGTTATCAAGGGGACGGTAAGGCTAACAGCAGCCACTGCTCCCTACTAGGACAGGAGCAGACATTGCAGTCCCTTTCTGAGGGTGCCAGTAGCAATGGGACAAGCATGAAGCAGATGGGGCCTGCTGCTACCTCCAGAGAACCAACAGCAGAAAATGACAACACTTTTGATGGGATGGAAAAAAGACGGAGTCCTGGACAAGGAAAATCGGACCTGCTATCCCCATACAACCAGCTAAAACGAGATAAAAAGCCTGTAGTTCCTTGTTATGACAAACTCACTGAGGACATGCTGATGGAAAAGAACAGTGCATACGGGGCTGAGAAGAGAATGACTCTCGGGCACAGTAAGCTGGATCTGATCACCAAGTACAACAAGTTAAAATCTAAACATATACACAGTCGGTTTGAACTCTGACCGGGCCTCGAGGTGTCCTTTGGTCTTATTTTCAAGTGGTTGCTTTTCCCCACCAATCATCGTATCTGAAACTTGAAATCAAACTACGGGTGGCAAATTAATCTTGTTCCTATTAAAAGGTGTTTGTGCTGTTTCTAATATATGGAGATAACTGATTCAGATGAGATTAGCAAGTACTGTTCAAATTTTTAATTACCAGATCATGACAGGAGAGAGAAAATGACATAAATGCAATCCACACTTCTATGTTCTTTCTACCCGTTTGGGAAAGAACCATTTCCCCCTAAACATACAACAAAACCACTTCTACAGCTGGAAACTGGCTACTGAGGTCTTCAGGGTAAACCCAGGTTCTCTTTGTACTGTGCAATTCCTCTCCCTGTGTGCATGTGCTGAAAATGAAATGGTCAAAGCCAGGGTAATGTTAAAAATAAAGGAGCTGTTTTCCTGGAAAGAGCTGTGTTGGGTCCCTCGTGGGGAGATGAGCTCCCTGGGCATGGGCAGGGCCCCTCTGGGCCGTGCCAGGAGGGGATATGCGTGGCGTGTCTGGGCACCTGACTGGCATCTGACCTTGGCCCGTGAGCGGTGTCTGCGCAGGGGTGGGATCACCACGTGGGTGCTGTCGGCGCAAAGGTCATATCTGAACACATGGCCCCTGGACACGGGTGGCCTGCTGAGGCGCTGGGGTGACAGCTGGATCCCGGGCGGTGTGTCTGCACACGGGTACAGCCCCGTGCCGGTGTACGCAGATGGTGTCAGCGCAAAGCTGGTGCTTGGACAGGCTGAACAGGGATGGCGTGTCTGCACGTGGGCGGGCAGCATCTGGGTGTGGCTTGTGTCTGCACACAGGTGGTGGCAGCCCACGGTGGCGCTGTTACCGTAAATTTGGTCTCAAAAGAACCATCTAAGACTTAGTTTGTAGTTTTAGCAAGCAGGCGTTCTTTATCGCAGCACTGGATGCACGGGGGATCGTTCCACCTAATGTGCACACGCTAAAACAAAAGTTCATCCTTTGCGTACCTTAAAGACACGAATATTTATACATTTTCCAAGAAGTCTCCACCTTTGCCTGTCTCCTACATTTACATAATGCTGGCATTGCAAAGCTACACTACACATGCGTGGGGGTCTCGGGTGGCCATCGATGGTCATTTGGGGAGTTAGCCCCATACTTCTCTTTTATGGTCACAAGTCTTTTGGGGACAATTTCTTCTCCTTGGATGTTTCCCAGCTCTGTTGTCCGGCCGGGCTGTTCTTTCTTACCTGCCCTGTTTAAGCAATCCTGCCAGGATGTGTGTTCTCATGGTTGGGATATCTTCTCTGTACACTTTAATCGCTCAGGCCTTGTTAAATACAAAGTTAAACATTGTTTGGTAAAAGAACTTCTCAAAATTCCCCTCTTTGAGACTTCCAGGTATACCCAGCTGGCACAGCACGCCCACATACGGTACAGTGGAAAACATCACTCATTGTTAGGGCCTCCATTTGGAGGCACCGGGTGCCCGCAGGCAGCCGCGTGTCCGGGCACACAGGCGGCGCCGGCCCGGCCTGGGCCCGTGGCAGCATCTT